TTTGCATTATAATAGTTTCTTTTTTTGGCTTTAATTATACTTTATTTTAATGAAATTTTTATATAAAAAACACTTTTTTTTAATAAAAATCAACAATTTTTAAGTAACTTACAACGCGAAGGGTAAAATTTTATCATATTAAATAAGTTAAAATAACATATATCAAATATTTTTTAGCATCTATAGTTATGAAGCAAGTTTAAAAAGATTTTTCTAAAAAAAAAAAATTAAAAAACAAAGGAACTACAGAAATATGTACATATAAGCAAGTTTCGTTACAAATTTTCCGCATATTAGTCAGTTTCATTCATACTCTCGTTTAAACATTTCTGCTTTGCCAAATCAAACTTATTATTATTGCGTAACAAAAACAAAAAAATATATTGCATCATACCAAAAATGCATAAACTTTGCTGCCCCATACGAACAGCGCACTCATCTTCATACATTTTGTTCACACAAAAAATATATAAAAATAAATCAATAATTTTTTTGCATTGCCACCACACTTTTAATACAATTTTCTTTGCTCACTAACGAATGAATGCCATTGTCACATTTCTTTTCATAAATAAATCAAAAATAAAATTTCTTTAATAAAACTAGCGGAATGCAATTTAGTTTATGCAAAGTTAATCAAAACAAATATATATATTATATATACTCAAAGCAAACTAAACAATAGACAATCAAAATAGCAAAAGAAAAAACAAAAAACCAAAGAAATAAACAAGTTTTATGCAGAAAAATACTCAAAACTATAACTGAAACACACACATAAATAAATATGTATTTACCAACATGGACGCATTGTGGCGATTACCAATCGGTCAATTGGATTAGTCAGCCAACCCAACCGCTCACACGCCCCGAACTCTCAGCAATATGAACCACAATGTACCGCCTACTGCTCACTATTATTTAGTACGTATTGTTGTTTGTGTGTTATTGTTGTTCATGGATATGCTTATTGATTACCAGAATACATACATCTATCTTCTATACTTCACAGTAGTGCAAATGCATATAATTAGAAAGCAAATAACTGTGTATTGGGAAAGTTTTACAGCCACCTACCATAAGTACATACATACACATGTGCACATCATATCATATATGTTTGTATGTATGGGTGTAGGGCTGCATAGGTATGTAATGTATGCCTTACGAAACACTCAAACAAAACCTGAAATTCATTTTAATCTAATTTTGAAAAAATTTAAATTTTCCAATCCCGATTTCCGATCTAAATTAATTTCGAACAAAAACTAATTTTCACATTTAACAAAAAATAGATTCAATAAATAAAAAGATATTGAAAAAAAAATTTTTTTTTAATAAAATCGCAAAAGGCAAAGAAAAACTCTAAAATTCAGTTTCATTCGATAAATTGGCATTGGCTTCCTTTCCTCCACCTAACCTTTTATTAAGTTATATCCCTTTTGGAGCGTATAATTGCATACATATGTATGTGTTCTCAATTGTAGTTATGTTTTTTGTTAATAGTGAATGTCTTTTTCGAACATTTTACAAAATTATAGTTACATAAATGAGAAATAAAATTCAGTATTGAAATTATCTTCATTTACAGAAATGTATCTCTAACAGCTAAAACTAATAAAAATAGTAACAAAATAAATACCAATATACAATGTAATATATATGAGACAAATTCTAAATTGTATAGTGACCATTTGTTTCATGGCGAAAATATGTTTACTAATTTATAATAAAGGAACGCATGCATGTCATTACACCACGATTAGCCATATCAATAATATTATGGATATATTAAAATCGTTAACTTCGAATGTACCGAGGCCCTTCCTTATTGCACAAGGGCCAATCTTAACTACTTGTTTCCAGAATAAAATGTGATCTTGATCGTTTAGTTTGTAGTGGCCCGAACTGGAAAATTTCTTCGAAGTTTGTAGCGTTGCCTAAAGGGAAAAAGAAAAGGAAATGGTTCAAGCTTTCAGTTCAATATCTAAAACCTGAAGTAATATTTTACGTATATGCAGGTCCGCCCAATGGTAGTAATAGGCAGGTTAGGTTAATCTGGTAGGCCAATAAACTACGCATAGACCAGTTAGGCCCATCTCGATACCAGAAGTTCAAGAGAAGTAGTCATCATATTGTATGCTTTCGCTTGACGCGAATTTTTACAAACTCTGCGGCCGCATTATCGATACCTCTTCCAGTGTATCATACCGTGGCGACCTCAGATGCTTTCAGCGTAGTCTTGCCAAGTGCTCCATTGTTTCCCTCAGTCTCTCGTTCTGTCAGCCCCATCTAGCGGACGCGTGTCTCAACCCGACAGTGACCAGTTAGTATTCCCATCATGTTCCTAAAGTCTCTTCTATCGAGTGAAAATAAGAATTTTGTGTACTTCCGATCTACCGTTTTGCACATGACTTTTGCAGTTTTGTACTGAGGTAGCTTGTTCCAACGAGTTATGATTTTCTTTATCATGCTTCTGTCGAGATCGTCGTGTAGATAATGCATGGGTTTCCCAATGTTAATCATGTTTTCGGATGTTAGCCGTACACCATTCTTGAAAATGTCGTCCACTATTTCACTCCTTCTGGACAGTACATTCCCGCAACATCACCATCGTTCGTGTTCGAGCCATCCGTCCATTGATGTTTAGAGTGTTGCGTATTTTTCATGTATACTTTTCTTTACCAGTATAAAAGTTGTGTCATGTAGTCGGTGTTTGCCTAACCGCCATTATCTACCGAGCTTTGCCCGAGGGTTCTCCTGCCAGTAGTCGTCCACCTAATTTTGGTGCGCAGTTTTCAGCGAAGAAGGTCTATAGGTGGCAGGTTTTATACCAGTTCAAGAGCCGCCATTCTTAAAGCTCCCGTTATACAGCGCAGCGGGCCTCTGAACCCATTTTATTCGCCTCCGGTAGTTGGATTTCTGTACGCCTGTCCACAATACTATTGCACCGTAGAGCAAAATTGGTCTAATGGTAGTAACTAATAAACAAAAAGTGGTGATAGGTATCCAGTAGCGATTAATAACGTATAATATTGCATATATTTTTTGTAAATGAAATTCTTTTCCAGTCCAAAAGGACTATTTGGACAATAAAATTAATATAGAAGATATATACATTATGGCAAAAAAGTACCGAAAATTGTAAATAAAACGCCTTCAGCACCTTCAGCGAATTTTGTACTATCTCGTCGATCGACTGAAAACAGGATCCATGCAGCTGCAATTTCAGTTTGGAGAACGTGAAGAATTCACACGGAGAAAATTCGATGGATGTTATGACGCAAGCACCTCAATATAGACCCATAGAACTCATTATTGACCGTCTTTCGCTCGGAAACAAATTTACAATATTTTCTTGACAGAATGAATAATGAACGAAACCACGAATATGGAAAGAAAGGAGCAACACCTTGATTTTGAACGGCTTTGGCTTGGTTTTTTGGTTTCAGCTCGTTTTTTCCCCCTTAACTCCGATAATTCTTGATTTATTTTTATTTCTAACAAAATAAACCCTTGTCTCCTGCCGATGAGATGTATGTGGGAATGAAATTCGTACGATCAAGCCTGTCAAAAAAGGCTTGTTTATGGTACTCTTTTTGAAAAAAGTTCAGCTTTGTCGGGACGAGTCGAGCAAAAACGCTTTTCACACCAAAAATATCCACCAAAATCATTCAAAGAGACTCGCCAGTGATATCGAGTTCTCTTGTCATCTCTCTAACACTAGCCTAACGATTTTGAAATATCATATCCTCCACTTCTTTTTTAATATTTTCATCAGTTGAAGTGGTCGAAGGTCGTCCAGAATGTTTTCAACAATCTCTCGACCATCTTTAAAGGCTTTGTACCGAAAACGAAGTTTGATTAGAAATACAATATTTGAGACAAGTGCCTTGTTCGATAATTTTATCTCTTGTAACTAGTACACTACTAAAGTGTACCGACTCAAGCAGCTGCTGTAAACAAACTGGCTGAAAACCGCGTTCATATTTGGCATAAGAATTAAGAACAGTCCTACTAACTTAATAAAGTACATTTTTTTTTAAATATCTTATCATTTAAACGAACAATTTAATTATAGATTTCGTGTGCTTTTTGGTCCCCATATATATTAGACATTTTGCTAACTGATTGCAATAAGCAAGTAAACGGAATATATATAATTACTTTATCAAATATCCGATTTAAAAATTTAAGCAGGGGAAATATTGAAGATGAACTTAAATCCAACAATAGTCAAAAGCTCAAGTCTAGCTTTAAGTACATTAAAAATGAATGGAATTTTAATACTAAGACTTTATGATTGATTTCTTAGCAATTTCAAGTTAATTACATAAGTAGTTTGCACTTAATATTAAATAGTTAATTCAACGTTTTGCATTTGCGTAATCGAATTAAAGCATTACTAAATTTGCATTAAAAGCAAGCAACATATGCACACAAACTCAGCCAAACACACACATATACAAACATAAACGAGCACACAAGAACGTTCACGGCACAACGCAAAAAATAAAAAATAAAAAATAAAAAACAAAAAATATTACAAAAACATACCGAACTAGTTTTGAACATGTCAAATATACAAAGAAAACTGTTTTCTGTTTTTTTCAAATTTCAAATCAAATTTTCCCCCCTCACTCTCAGGCTGTAAACACAAATACACGTAACAGAAGTCTTGGTCGTTTAAGAAGGCAGCCGCCCCGTCATGGTATTGGTAAGTGCTCAAAACCACTAAAGAATTCATTATACTTGTTGCTTTTAACCTAAAAACTTGTTACAAAAACTACGTTAATGCGACTATGCAAACTCAACTACTTAATTACATACTCGTTTAAGTACTACTTGCATAGTGTTAATCATAATTACCACATATAATTACACCTTAGCAAGTCACTAAATTTGTTAAATTAACTTCTTCAAATCATAATAAGAAAAGTGTTTTATGAATTTCCCAACTTATTCACACTTTTTTCCAATATTTAAAAGAGTAATCACTAGTTATATATGTAATTATTAGTATTCAATACATAAATTCGTTTATATATAGAAAGAAGTTCAAACTTTTCACATTCACTCGTTTTACTACAATATTACATAAGTACAAAAAAAAAATTTTAAAAATATATATATATATGTATTTACTATGACAAATCTCTCATCTTCATTTGAAACTATATACCAATTACAACAAATCGCACACACACCGCTACAACCACACAATACTCTATATTTCCTCACCTATTTTCTATTTTGTAGCATTTTCCAATCATTTCCGTTTGCTCATTCGTTTATTTTTACCATTTTTCTTTTGCCATTTTCTCATCGTGTGCTAATTAGTAAAAATCCTTTACAAAAACAAAAAAATAAAATAAAATTGTCGCTTATCGTCTATGAAATGCTGTGAGATTATGTGAATTAATTAGCAAAGTAGTTTCCCCTAACCTCTTTAACTACATGTTGCATGTTGCAGCGAGCATCAAATTATTTTTAATTGTTTTACTACTGCTATGCATACATTCTTATTAAGAAATATGTAATATTATGCCAGTTTATGAAGTAGTGCTGGTTGCAACATGCCTATTTGTCGTGTAAGCCCTGTAAGCCCTGTAAGACCTAACTAATTGTTATTTTAAACGATATTTGTGCGATTGAAGGAGTGATAATTTTATGGAAGCGGAAGTAATGCTTACAAAAATAATAAAATAAATCGAAAAATAGAATTTCGAAAACAATTTATAAAACTCTAATTTTTTTTTAAAAGATTAGAAGCAAAAAGGAAAAATAATAATAAAAAAAT